GTGGTGATGCACACCTGCAATCCCAGCTACTCAGGAGGCTGAGGCAGAATTGCTTAAACCAGGGAGGTGGAGGTTGCAGTGAGCTGAGATCACGCTACTGTACTCCAGCCTGGCTGACAGAGTGAGACTCTGTCCAAAAGAACAAACATGAATATCATTCAAACAATAATAGTGCAAGGTGGATGCTATTGTTGTGCCCTCACTTTTATGGGTGGGAAAACTGGAGCTTAGGACCATGAAGCCACTTGATCAAGGTCACATCACATAGCCAGGAAGTGGAAGTGTGTGACTTGAACCCAGTTCTGACTCCAGGGTCTGTGCTCTGAATGGCAGATATGCCTTTTTTTTTTTTGAGATGGAGTCTTGCTCTTTCACCCAGGCTGGAGTGCAATGGTGTGATCTTGGCTCACTGCAACTCCCGATTCCCAGGTTCAAGCGATTCTCCTGCCTCAGCCTCCCAAGTGGCTGGGATTACAGGTGTGTACCACCACACCTGGCTAATTTTTGTATTTTTAGTAGAAACGGGGTTTCACCATGTTGGCTGGTCTCGAACTCCTGACCTCAAGTGATCTTCCTGCCTCGACCTCTCAAAGTGCTGGGATTGCAGGCATGAGCCATCCGGCCTGGCCAGCAAGAGGGCATTAACATACTCTTTAAGCCTGGCAGCTTCAGAGACGGGGTCTGGGTCAGAAACACTGATTATGGTTGCAAACAGAAAGACTCACGAGCGTCCCAGTCAGGTGGGCTGGAAGACACACAGGCCACCCAGTCAGCGCTCACACAGGTCATCCATCCCAAAGTCTGTGTCCGTGAGTGTTTATGTCTCACACACACAGCCATTCACGGACCCCAGTGACATCATCCAGGAAGTCATTAAGGCAGTTGGCCCCATAGATGCAAAAACATTGCAGAGTGATGGTGATTAATGTTCACTATTAGCAATTCACGTGAAGACCCACAGAAGACCCCACAGATTAAAAACAAAAAACAAAACACCTCAGTGCTGTGGTTTGAATATTTTTTCCTTCAAAACCTCATGTTGAAATCTGATCTGCACCCCAGTCTGGGTGATGGAGTGAGACTGTGTCAAAAAAAATGAAGAAATTTGGGGCTGGGCGCAGTGGCTCATGCCTGTAATCCCAGCACTTTGGGAGGCTGAGGCAGGCAGATCACGGGGTCAGGAGTTTGAAACCAGCCTGGCCAATATGGTAAAACCCATTTCTACTAAAAATACAAAAATTAGCCAGGCGTGGTGGCAAGCGCCTGTAGTCCCAGCTACTGGGGAGGCTGAGGCAGGAGAATCACTTGAACCTGGGAGGCGGAGATTGCAGGGAGTGGAGACTGCACCACTTCACTGGGCAACAGAGCCAGACTCTGTCTCAAAAAAAAAAAAAAAGAAAAGAAAAAAAGAAATTTGGGCCTGGTGTGGTGGCTTACACCTGTAATCCCAGTACTGTGGAAGGCTGAGGAGGGTGGATCACTTGAGGTCAGGAGTTCAAGACCAGCCTGGCCAATATGGTGAAACTTCATCTTGAAAAAAAAAAAAAAGGTATCACACCACGTCCTCCTTAGAAACAATGGCACAGTGGCAATGATGGCAGCATTCACAACCAAACACACCAGGAGTCCCGGAGTGACACACAGGAGATTGATTAGACAAGCTCCTGTCTGAGTCTCACAGCATCGCTCTGGGAGTCAGCTGGATCCGGTGTGCGGGTGTGCACACACACGAATGCACTTCCTCCAGGTCCATCTCATGAAAGAGCCCCAGGCACCCAAGGGATATGGTACAAAAATAGTTTATTACAAAAGAAATCAAACCAAAATGCTTAATAATTTACATCATGATCGGTGCCTGTGACGGCCCACCTCCCCCCTCCTCAGTGATCTGGTAGAGAGTGGAGGGGAGTGGCTGTTCCCTGGGTCCACCAGCTCTGGGAGAGGACAAGGAAATGGAAGATGTGGGTGGAATTCCGGACAGGGACTGGTGCCTGAGAGTACTGGGGTCAGAGTCTTGGGCAGGGGGCGAGACGCGGGAACATCTGTGCTCAGAAGAGGGGTGTATGGGTAGGTGCATGTGCTTCTGTGCAAATCCTGGTCCCGAAGATGGGGGGGGGCAGAGTGAGATCTTCACAGTTTCCAGAAGGGTTGACCCCACAGAGCAGGGGGCCCCTCCTCATGAGTCCAAGATCTGCCCCCCCATCCCTCTCAGCTGCCCCCTGGAGCTGGGGAGGGGGGCACTGGCCGGCCAGGGCCTCGGAGGACCCCAGCAAAGGGCAGGAAGGCAGGTGGAGATTGGGAAGGAAGGAAGAAATTGGGAGGAGCCATGGGGAATCCAGGGGGGTCTTTCGGGGGAGACTGGGAGGGTGAGGAGGATGGTGATGCAGAGAGAAGACCTGTGGAAGGAAGAGAGACAGAAGGGGGAGGGTGGTGAGAGGCTAGACCCAGAGAGCAGGGGCTGGGGCCATCTGGGTCTGAGGGAGGAGGGCCTGGGGGTCTGAGGGAGGAGGGGCTGGGGGTCTGAGG